ATCAGAAAAATCTACTTCAATACAGTAACGAAGTATTTGTACTTCGTTACTTCCCATCTCTGTGTCTAGACCCCATGATCTTATTTGAGTGCCAGCTGAGAGTGTGCATCTTACCATGGGAAGGTCCTGCAGTCGATGGAACTCAGGGTTGTTCATCCTCTTGCGGAATTTCAAGAACAGAACGGCGAAGACGACGGCTGTGGCAGCAATGAACACTGATAACAGACTGGCTAGCAGAGGGTCCAGAGGAGAGCTGGAGCTGTGGTGGGACCCCTTCAGGTCTACATGACAGAGAGTTAATATAAGATAAGTACAATGAAATTATAAACTCAAACAAATAAAAGATCAAACTCATCTTATCTCCTAACCTTCATCTCCGATGTTCAGCTCAGATGGAAACTCCCTGTGTGTGGGTCCCACTGGGGCCAAAACGAAGGCTAAGGTCTGAGACAGAGCTGTTGTATGTGTGGTGACTGCAGATTGTGGCTGCATGGTAGAAGTAAGGGAAGTGGAGCTTTCCTCCCTCGCAGTCTGTCCTGTTGGAGATGAAACGGTGGAGACAGTCTTGCTGGTCAGCAGATCTATGTGACCGGTAGCCTGATGAGAGGTGGAGCTCAGAGCGGTCGGCGTGGAGGAAAGGTTGACTGCGGCAGCTGGGAGTGTGAATAAGAACATCGGTTCAAACCAGTATAAAGATTTCTTCACTGGTTAATGTTACTACATTAACCAGAGGTCACTGCAGTGCTATGATCCTGAACCGGATCACAATACTGCTCCTGCTAATGTTTGCTAAAACCATCACTGCAAAATGTAATGAGAATTACCTTTCAGATTGGAGAATCTTCCACAACCTTTTCCTTTTCCAGTTCATTAAAACAATATAACAACAATGTCGATAGTACTGCAAAGCTGTTTTTTAAAGAGGTTTATTCCAAATAGTTTGAACTGCTCCATCAACAGTGACAATTTCCCAAAAATCACAAATATTTCTGCATGTGTAAATATTATTAAAACTTCTTTTCACATTATTTCTATTGTATGATTCTTATTATATGCCACAGAGCTTATTCCCTCAGAAAATTCACACAACAATTACAGGTGCTTGGCTCCAGGTACTCAGAGATTCACTTCCATACAGAAACCCCACATTCATATTTTCAGGTAAC